TAGCGAGCCGTTAAAATATTAATCAAGCAACTGTTTATCTATCCTATGATATCATGGGTAGGACTGATTAAGTAAATATATGCATAACATGCCAAATTGTATCATGCAAGTCAGTCTTTTTACAAATTAAAATACTATCATCGCAATTTAAAAAATATATATCTGCATATATATATATATATATATATATATATATATATATATATATATATATACTTACATGCTATTTTATTAGACGATCCGTTTATTTACTAAACAGCATATTTATTTATTTTCGTCTACCGGCAAAAAAGAGCGCATGTGTTTCTTTAATAAAATCTATTGAATATTCAGGCCGGTACATGAAAATAAATAAATATACATTTTAATAAATAAACGGAGCGTCTACCTAAATATGGGTATCCAATAAACGTATAAGTAATAAAATCTGTTGGATTAATAAATAAAAATCCATTATATATATATATATATATATATATATATATATATATATATTCGCTATTATTAATCACTCAGCTATTTTGATTTCTTCATATGTAAATCCTTTTACCTCACACACACACACACACACACACACACACACACACACACACACACATATATATATATATATATATATATATATATATATATATATATATATATATATATTCATTCACCAGGTCCAATAAAACTGTCAAACTGACCAGAGAATTCAGAGTAACATGTATCTATCCAGCTCTTATCTCAAATAACAACTTAAAAGAGACTGTTTGACCAACACAAGGAATGTTAAAAGATTCATGTTAAAAATATAAAAAAATAAAAAAAAACAAATGAAAACTACAGACAAAAGTTCATTTTCTCCATCAAGACATTCATTTCTGTAGTTTACTGCTACCAGCAAGTAGAAATATTTCTCCTCCCGATGATGGCCATTTCGGTCGAAACTAGTCGAGGAATCTAAATGGAATAATAATAAAAAAAAACGAAAGAATATTAATCTAAAAGCCAGTGTGTCTAAAGATTTTAATTTTTTTTATTTTCTTATTGTTCAAAATATATATATATATATATATATATATATATATATAAAAGGTAAAAAGGATTTACATATGAAGAAATCAAAATAGCTGAGTGATTAATAACAGCGAAAGAGGGAAGAGAAATAAAAGAAAAAAGGCCAAGAAAAGGAAATAAAGGTTGAGATGAGTATACAACATTATCCTTTTATGCAAAATTTTCCAAAGACGGAAGGGGCAGATATGCTTCGTTAACTGTATTTCGGAATAAAATAATTTTGTAACATCGTGAGTTCCCACCTGAAGAAACGTTATTTTTTAATGTTGAAACAAGATATACAATTTCGTAGTGCGTATATACACGTTCTAATTTAACAGTGCATAATAAATAAATAGTTATAGCTCTACTTTTGTATTGAGCCCTATTTTAAATGAATGTTTTGAACGCGGAAATTTTCCCCTTCGTTCTTTTAGATTTGTATATATATTTATATTTATATATATATATATATATAGATAGATAGATAGATAGATAGATAGATAAGGAGAGAGAGAGAGATGATTTAAGATTTAAAAGTGAAGGAGATATATTCATATAGCGCTCAGTATTATAAAAATAAAGCAATAATAATATCAGTTCTATTTATTATTTTCCATTTTACTTTTGGTGTTTTATTCCTTTCTTTTAAATGCCAAAAATATTTAGATAGAGATGTCTGATTTCTGTTTCTAATATTATTGAAGGATCTTTTATATTGTCTCCACCTTATTTTAAATTCATTATTCGTGGAAGCTATATATATTTTTCAATGTTTGGATTCTCAATGGATGAGATTGTGCATTTGTATACTACAGATTCTATGCGGCATTTATTTTCGAACGGGCAATCTTCAGAGTTTCTACAATCACATAATTTTTCATTATTTTTGTTTAATTTTAATTTAGGGTTGTCATTTATTTGATTTTGGCATGCATTTTTTTTCAGGATTTTATTGATTTTTTATGATTCTTCTAGATTTCCAGTGCAGCTCTAACTTAATTTTAAGGTGTTTTTATTAAAGATCTTGCTAAGTTTACTATCAGTAGGAAAGTGTTTTTCAATTAAAGTTAATTTTTGTCCTAGCTTATTGCTAACCATTTGTTTGAACAGGGAGTGGGTATACCAAATGATTTTTCATTTTCTGTTTTTTTCTGGTTTGTAGTATTGTTTTTTATACTATTTTATTGACTAGCAGGAGAGCCCGGCGGTGCCCGGGGATGTAAGAGATAGATCAAGTATCGACCATCATAAAGACTGAAAATCAAAATTGACAAAGATTATTGTTTAAGGTTGACGGACACGCATGTCTTAATTAGTTTTTTTTGTTTTGTTTTGTTTTTGTTTTTTGTTTTTTTATGAATTGGTCAAACCCAAACTCAAACAAAAACATTGTTTTCAATCGTTATAAGTCTACCGATTGAATAGAATTTTATTATAAACAACTGTCTTCTAAATGGAATTTTTAAAGCATTCTGAATGTAAAAATAAAGAAAAAAGTGTGCAAAGCAATAAGAAACACTACCTACCAAAAAAAAAAGTGAAGTTTGATGAAATCGATTGAAAATGTAGGAAATCCGATCCCATATATAAACGAACACACACACACACACAAACAACCTGGGTTTTATAAGTATAACTCGATATGAGTTGTCCCCCTTTCATTCTCGCGATGCCTCTTAATCGTGTTTTCAAAATGATTTCATGCAAAAACAATTGTGTTTTTCCAATTTTTGGCGCTGTCAGAACCACCGCAAGGTGATTCTACGTAGTTCTGTGAAGTTTTGTTGAAATCGGTTGAAAAATGTAGGAAATCCGATCCAATATATAAACGTACAGACACACACATACACACACACACAACCTGGGTTTTATAATAAGTATGATGTTAGGGTTTTTGTATCCATTATTTTTAGAGCTATGTTGTAAAGAGTACTGTGTTTGTAGAATATTTCTTCATTTGCGGAGTTCATGCTGATTCTTTTCTCTATTGATGAGGGTATATGCTTAATTGTGGATGGAGGATGGTTTGACCTGGGGGGTACATACAAGGGATTAGTGTTAGGTTTTCTGTAAGGTATATGTTGTTCATTAAGTCTAAAGTTATGTCGAGGAAGTTTACCCTTTTCAATTTTGTGTTAACTGTAGTTTTTAAAATTATTTTTTTATAAAAACTTTAATGTCAATTTCGGTTTTCATCAGATCTGGAACTGATAAGGTTTTAACTTTAATTAAAATAAGGGGCAAAGTAAATTGATCAGTAAGGGTTACAGAAGTTTAGACAGATTATATTAGGAATATTCCAAACCTAATTTTGTACAGAGGTTTGACTATTTAATTTATTGCACGACTCTGGTTCCTGAGTGCCCTCTAAATTCCGACTTCATATGAATACAAAAAAAAGACAAAGTAAATTCGATACAATACGTAGAAAACGTAGGTGAAGGTAGAGTCTTAAATAAAGTTTTTATTCTCAAAATAACCTCACGTCTGTAAAAAGTGTAAAATCGACGCATAGCCTGTTTCTGTCGGGTAATTCAGTAGTTTAGGGGTCTGGTCTGATTTAGGTTTGCCCATCGTCCGGTTTATACTCCTCTCCGGTCTTTTGAACAAAAGTACAGATTTATCCCTTGTTCTCTGTTTAGGATTGGGTTTCGCGTTGCTTCTAAAGTCTTTTTTATTCTCTTTCTCTCCCAGTAGCTCCTTAAGTCTTAGTGGCATTATTGCCTTGCTTGGGGTAATTTGATTGAAAAAGAAATTCATCATAAATCGATCACACGAAAAGAAGCTGTCCTCAAAAAATCGGTTTATAATGTTTCTACAGTTTCGTATTCGATATATTTCATAATTAAGAGTTCCTAGTATACTATAAGATCCGTCTATATTTCTGAGATGAGGTATTATGTACCCTATTTACATCTCCACCGCTTAACCAGGTATTGAACTCACACTCTTTGGGTCCTGTCACTGGATCTAACTAACGCCTTTATCTACTGTGCCATGGATACCTGGCTAAGGCGATGGAGAAATTTGAGAGGGGTATTAACAGGAGATAACTGACATCTATTTAGACATGGCACATGGAACTAGAACAGTTTACCGCAGTGAGCGAAATTCGGCATTCCAACCACCTGAAGAAGGCTGGAGCGTACAACGGCCGAAACGTTGTAATAAATATGGCGACAAAGATGAAGACAATAGTACGAATAATTTAAATAGTGTACATAATTCCTCATCTCAGAAATATAGACAGATATTTAAAGGCCGAAACGTTGTAATAAATATGGCGACAAAGATGAGGACAATAGTCTAAATAATGTAAATAGTGCACTATAAGAACCGAATTTATATGAAGAAAGATTGATTTTTAAAGTCTAAAAACTTACACAAACAACGGAGATCATATAAGATAGATCATATAAGATAGGTTTCCACAACGTACTTTGTAAAAAACAAAAACACATTAAATAATTTAAATTCCTTCTTTGAATTTAAATTTGGGATTGACAGTGTGTAATCGATTACTATTTTTTCCTCAGGTTTGGGCATTTGCAGTGGTGTGCAGTAATATGAATCTTTTTTCGGGGTGTATGATGAAATTCGTTTGGCCTTGAAAAAAAATTGCGTCATCCATGATTGCATCAGATTTTTATCATGCACAGACACTATTGCTTCGACTGTCGATTAGTTGTCCTACGGGCATTGTCTGCGATTGACGTCATTCCAAGGAAGCATACGAAAAATGTCACGCTGCACGAACAGACTAGCAAGCCTTACCAGTGAGCAAATCAAAGTTCTATAGACTGGCACGGAAACTCTGTTGATTTAAATCCAGTCGAAAATCTGTGGTCAGTCTGCAAGGAATCGACATACAAATACGTACAAATATGTGCACTGTGTTATGTTTCATTGGAAAAATACGTAAAGAGTAAATAATAACGGAATTATTCGTTTTGTTTCAA